CACACACACACACACACACACACACACCCCTCTCTCTCTCTCTCTCTCTCTCTCTCTCTCTCTCTCTCTCTCTCTCTCTCTCCTCTTTGTGCTTCAGCGTCACCATCTGTCTGGGGGACGGTTTGAGCCCAGTGGTACCCTGACAAGGTGGGGGCTAGGGCAAAGGAAGCAGGGCCCAGGGAACAGGCACAGGAGCAAGCCAGGAAACCTGAGAAGGGGGCCACCCACCCAGGCACTCTCTCCTCCTTGGTCCTCGGTGCGTGCCAGGCAGCTCACATGTCTAGAAGTCCTATGTGGGGGAGGGGAACAGACAAAGGTTGAAAATCTGAAGGGGGAACAAACTCAAACTGCAAAGAAATGAGCCACACCTTGAATGCTTTGCTGATTGCTTTATTTCTATATTCCCCTTTTCAGATGATGGTGACAGAAAGCAGATGGATCCCCTCCCTCCCCACCCCCCTTAAAATACAGACACAGATTTCATTTAGCATATACAAGCATTGGGGCGATGGTCCAAATTCATCTCACTGGGTGACTAGAGCCAGTAGAAGGTCCATCTAGGGGGCAGTCTGAGCACCTCAGGCCCAGGAATTGGGCAGGTCAAAGAAGAAAAGAGCCTGCCATTCTGGGGTGCCAGGAGAGGCAAAAGAATCAAATTGTGGTGAACAGAGCTGCCTAGCCCTGTGATGTGGCCTAAAAGATGACAGTGGGCTCCTGAGTGGCTTCCAGTGAGGTCTACAGCCCCATAGAAATCTGTGCCTCAGGGTTCCCATCTGCATAATGGGGATAAGAATCTGGCCCTGTGGATGTTGCAGGGCTCTACTGAGGCTCCAAATAGAAAGGGTTTTTCAAAAGTGTTTCTCCAGAGGCCAACTGTTGTACAAATTTAAGGTAGTCCAATTGAATGGCTGTAATTGTGAGTACCCCGAGAATAAGAGTGGACTGGCTCTTGGGTCCGGGAACCAAGGAAGCTGTCAAACTCCGACTGAGCCCAAGGTGGGCACCAAGGAACGGTGGGTAATGCCCACTGCAAAGCAGAGTTTCTTTCATTTCTTGGCCCCCGGGAAATTACCAAAGCCTAACACCTGGCCAGGGCTGGGAAAGTCACGGGGTAAGTTACAGCAAGAATCACAAGGGTCAAGGGAGAGGAAGAGGGGGCATCAAAGCAGGGGGTAGTTACTTCACCACACACCAAAGTAGACAGATACCCACTGGATGCAGGGCATTGAACTGGTGGTGCAGATGGAAGCAGGGGGGGGAGAGGGAGGTGTCACAGCAGCAGAGGGAGGGATGCTGTCCCCAAAAGACCCACTTGCTGGCTCCTCTCCTCCTAAAGAGATAACACCAGTGCCTGTCTATCTGCATGTGGAGGGGGGGTAGGGAAAAAACTAGGATGGGGTCCTCCTGTACTCTTGTCTAGCCCTTTAAGGAGGCATCAGGATAGGGAAAATAGCTGGTCTGTGCACTTTGAGGTGGAGGCCTGAGCTGGGCCTATAGCATCACAAAGGCAGTCGTGGTTTTTTTGTTGGAAAAAGGCAGTGATTGTCAGCATGGCTGCAAGTGAGCCGATCCGCTCATAGGTGGGCAGGGTTTTAGGGAGCCGATCATTAAGAGCCTGCAATCATGAAGACTGAGCACGGTGAATGCCTTTCTGGAATAGAGGTGGGTGCGGTTCTTTGAAAGGGGGTGCTGAGAAGATCGAGGGAAGGGACTCATGGGGAGAGGGCTACCAAAGACAAACTCTTCACAGGCTTGTATTTGGAGAACAAGGGAGGAAAAACACTTAGGTGCTCCTGCTGCTGCCGCTGTCCCCCAACTCCCTTGGCAAAAGGGCTTGAGACCTCCCGGGGAACTGAGGAGTCCGCGCCCTGCAAGGAACCTACTGGCACCTACAGGTTAAGGCAAACAAGCCAGTAGATCACATTGAAGAAGAAGAAGGCGAGCGGGAAAACAACTCGTGAGTAGTTATCCAGGCGGAAGAGGTGGATGCGCAGGCGCCCCTTCTGCCAGGTAAAGCCCTCGCACTCAGGGGCCATGCAGAAATACTTCCTGAAACGCTTGAGGCATCCGGAGAACCTTCCACGGGGGGGCTCAGGGACACTTGGGCTGGGGAGCTCCTGCAGCGAGCAAGACACGTGTTCCTCTCCATCATTTCCCTCAGAGGTGACAACCTCACACACAAACACCTCCTCCTGCTGGCGGGCACGGGCGCGGGCAAGAGCACGGGCACGGGCGCTGCTGACAGGAGGCTGCATGGGACAAATGAAGAAAAGGGATGAAAGACAAGAGTCAAGGGAAGGAGAGCCACACACCTGTGGGTTCAAGTTTTCTGCAAACTCAGTTCCTTGGCACACCAGCATCTTAATCACACTGACAAGTCGATTTCCCCCAACTCCTGACCGCCGGGTGCTCTAACCTTAATGCCTTCTTGGCCATGACTCCACCCCACCCCCCCAAAGCCTCACCACCACTCCTATCCCCAGCTCATACATAGCGCAGGATCGGAGAAGCATGGGTCTTCTTGTAATTGTAGGTCAGGAAGTTGAGGATGGCAAACTCCAACAGAGCACAGAAGCAGAAGACGAAGCAGATGGCGATATAGAAGTCCAGGATCGTGATATAGGAGACGCGAGGGAAATTCTTCCGAGAAATAGTGCCCAAAGTAGTCATGGTGAGTACGGAGGTGATCCCTGTGAGGAGAAGGAGTGGAGCAGGCTGAGCTCCTAACCCACACGCTGACAGGAGTCCCCCGTGTCCATGTGCACGCCCATTTTTTTACCCTCTCACCTAAAGAGGTCCTGGCTGGAGCAGAGTCTCTCTGGATCCAAAAGGAAACCCAAGACAGCATAGTAGTCACAGAAGAAGGAACATAGTTTTGAACGGCAATATAGCCAAACTGCCTACTCATATTGAAGAAAAACGTCATAACCATGTAGTTACCTGGAAAACATTAAAAAACAAAAAACATGGTGTGATATACAACAGGGCATACACAGTAAGAATCCTACTACTCAATTCACAAGGTTCCCTGCCCCGGTCAAATGACAGAGGCATACTATTCTGGTGTAACACGCACAGGACCAGAAGGAGCCCAGAGAGACAGTGCATGGCTAGCTGAGAGGGCCGCCAAAGCCAGAATCATTGCAGCTTCTTTTTCAGTTCATGGTCCCACCCCAAGAGCTGTCTTTGCAGGGTGGCAGGAGAGTCAGAGGAAAGTTAAAAAATCAGTTAGTCCTCTTGTTATCGGGCCCACACAGCTGACGTGCAGAAGGCTGACTTTGCTTCACACCTACTCAGATGTCCCGCCTGTATGAGGGGATGGGGGCATGTGCTGTGACCAGTCTTCTTTCTGCACATACAATGCTTCACTAGGGGAGGGGGCCCCCAAACTTATGGGGTCTCCAGGGCTCCATACTCAGAATCAACTCTACCCTCTGACACTAAAGGCCCAAAGTGACCCAGATCCAACTGATGGCTTCACACGCATGCACACGCACACGCACACGCACACACACATGTGCACACATGCACCTTACTCAAAGCTAATCTCATGGGTTCTCATTTGAGCCAGCCCCCTTGGTGCTCAGTCTGCAGAGTACACCTATACCCCCACAAGGGAGACTGGCGTGTTCACATTCCTTTGGGCATGTGTCTCTACTCTTGCTCTCACCCTAGATAGCAATGGCTCCCGCAGGACCCGAGGACAACTTGCATCTCCAGTTTCCAGTTGTATCTTCAGGCTGCCAGTGCTTTGATACATACATCTGCCCCATACACTCTGTATCCTAGCCTGCCTCCATGGCTCCTTTGGGCTTTTCTGAGTCCAAAGCACTCAGACTAGAAGGAAGAGTGGACTCAAGGCTTTGAAGAATGAGGGGGAAAGATGAGCTAGGGCTGTGGAGACTGTAAAAGAACCTGATCTATGTCTAGGGGAATACAGGACATCGTTTATCACTATCAATATCACAATGTATTTGCAAGAGCTCCAGTCCCGGGTCATTTGTGATATGTACATCCAAACTCCCACTTCAGTGATCCCATACAATTCCTTGGCCTCGAAGTAGGTCTGCTTTGAAATTCTTTGAAGGCATGGCTCACTTAGGCACTGCAGTCTAGCCCCTGCCCATCCCAGCCTGGAGTAGACTGGAAACCAGAGGATGCTTATGACCCTTCCTGCTGTCCGCAGCAGGTGTGGAAAGCATACCAGAACACTAACCTGCCCGTGCAAGGGAGATGGCCTGTGAACAGGTGTGGGTGTGCTGGAGCTGAAGGAGAGAAGCCTTTCCCACTCACCTTGGCAGCTCTGACACTCGGGAGCGACACTTCTCAGACTCCTCTGGAAAAAAGACAAGGAAGTGGCCGGGAGCAGTGGGAAACCTGGTTCCAGAGCAGGAGCTTTGAGGCCACTTGCAGAGAAAAGTGGCCAGGATGTACTGATCAAGTTCCTAGTTCTCTTGCCCTGGTGTCTGGATTATAAATTAAGAGCCTGCTAATTAGCCGTAACTACCCCAGTCCCCACAAAACTGCAAGTTTACATGTGCTTGTCTATTGGACTTCTCTACTTTAATCTTGTTTACTCTGGCCAAAGAAGAAATTTATCCACTTGTCAAAAGATAAGTTTGTTTTTGAAAGTCATGAGAAGAATGCTAATACACATTCTTCTTCCTGATAAGTGGAGAAACCAGGGTGAGCAAAGAGAGATATATATATATAGGACTGAGGAGGCAAAGCAAGAAAAAGAAATACTAAAGATGTTTGCTGGTCTTACTCTTACCTGCCTTGCCCAGACCATGGATGATCACTGAGCTGTGAGGGGGAGAAAATTTAAAAAGCCCAGAGGACTTGGACTAGAAGGATGAGTGGACCCGAGGCTTTGAAGAACAATGGAGAAAAATAAACTAGGGCTGTGAAAACTACAACAGAACATGATCTAGGTCTAGGGGAATACAGGTCCTTTAATTCTGATCTACTGTAAGAGTGGCTGGCCTTAATGTAAGTTGGATAGTGCTGGGGAAAAAGAACTATGTCCAAAGGGGAGAAGTTCCAGAGTCCCAATGTCATGAAACATGGAGAGATTGCTGATGGGCACAGGTGCCTGTCTAGAGAAGGAAGAAAACTCCTTGCAAGACAGTCAACAACTGACTGCTTTAAGATTCCACTGAAGCTCCAAAGGTGTCAATGGAAGATGATTCACTCACTGGGGGCAAAGGCAGATTTTCTGAGACCTCATGAAGCAGAGGTCCTCTGGTTCAAGGTCAAGGTGACCAGAGTAGAAAGCTAGCACTGCATTTTGACCTACTGGGAGATGAGCACACAGGTCTCCTTCAGATAGAGAGCAGGAGTGGACTGGAACAGTGTGAGAACAGCCCTACAGATCACACTGACCCGGGAAAACATGTTCAGCAGGAAAGAAAGAAGACCTGGTGGTGCTTACCTAGTGTCATTGACCTGGTGATGATGCTGGCCGTGGGGCTTTGTAGTCACTAGGGCACCATTTTGAAACAATGCACAATCATCTACTAAATGGAACCACTAGTGACTTAAAAGCCCCTGGGCCTTGTCTCCTCTGATACCATTGATGGAGAAACTGAGGTACAGAAAGCTAAGAGATAGGCCCATGGTTAGTTGGCAGAAGAGCTAAGATATTGGTAAAGATAGTAGAATTGCTTCCCTAGAACCCCCAGGAAAAAGCAAAGCATTTGCAAAGCAGACTTTGCCCCTTGCCTAGTATTGCACAAGCATAGCTCTAACCAGGTAAGCATGAGATGTCCTTTACTGAGTGACTACTAACTCAACAAGTGAAGCAAAAGTTAGTTTTCTGTCTAACCACACAGAAGCAAAGCAAACAAATGGCGGCTTGGGTGACTCATTCCATCCACATTCTGGAAACGATGAGGGCAGTGCCTCCACTGCCCTGAACTTGGTCAGTACGTGAGAAGAGGGTTTCCAGGAATGCTCTGGAAGCAACCCTGGGATGGTCCCTTGGGTCCTCATTCGGATCACCTAGAAACACAAGCAAAGATGCTCACACCTAATTGTGAGCTGAAAGTTGAGACCCAGGACCCTCCCCTTTTGTCCTTGTTGGGGACACAATCTGAAAACCAGTAGTCATCATGTCTATGCTTAAACCACCATGAATTTTCTGACAGCAGTGTATGTTTTTGCAGAGCTGCTCGTCTAAGCTAAACGTCAGTGTAGCAGCACTGCAGCTTCCGGAATCTCCTTCACTGCCCCAGCTGCCATTAGAACTCTAGTCTCCATCTCCCATTAAGATGGACCTTGCTTCCCTTTCAACCAGCTTGGACTGTTCTGGATATGGTGATCTCACATGCACTCCATTCCCTAGCTGTCCAAATAGGTCAGTGCTGTAACAAAGACCTTGAAACTGGAGGGCTTGCATGAGAAGCTGGTTGCAAATCTGATGGCAACAAAATTTTATTTACTCACCTAACCTCTCAAGAGGCATGGCAGAGCACTTACTTCTTTGCAGATGAGACTGAGACATAGTGTAAAGTCTCAGTTTCCTCTGCAAACAGTTGTAAGTGCTTAGCATGTACAAGGCAGGAGCCATGTCCTGATGGCGTGGGTGCACAGCATCTGTACAGGAGGCCACCTCCATGTAGCCCTACCACCTTCTTGGGCCTCTGCCTGGCCCTGGTTCCCATGGCACACTTACCAGCAGGGGTGGAGACAACTTCAGTTTTGTTGCTCATTCCAGTAAAGTCAAACTGGAAAAGTTTCCAGGTGTTCGTCTCATCCATTTCAATATTGAAATGCTCCAACTTGTATATGAGCTCAGTCACAGGATAGGAAACTGGAAAGCAAAAAGGGTCAAATGAGACTGGGAAGCCCAGTTGATTTGCCCTCCAGCATGGAGTCAGCCTGAGCAATGCCTCGGAGCTCTTACTCTAGCCTCGCCAGCTGTGGGACTCAGCCTCTCTTACCTGGTTGTTGAAGTCCACTCAATAAGTGCATTAACTGAGCATTCCTCAGTACCAGGCCCTGGGCTGCAAATACAGAGATGAGCAAGGCATGAACCCTGCCCTTTAGCATCCACATTTTATAGAGTAAGACAGTGAGTGGTATTCAACTGTGACTTTTGGAGTTGCCCTAAAGAACCTTTTCCCATAAAACGGTGAGGAAACAAAGTCAGGGAGTATCACTGGGGAACACACTCAGAAAAGACTTCACGGAGCAGGTGACACTCCCAGTAAGTCTTGAAAGTCAAGCCAACATTTCCATGTGGAAGATGTTGAAAGGGTGAGGAGCAGCACTGAAAGGCAAAATGCCTGGTTTACTGTGGAAATGGCAAAATTTCAAAATGGCGAGCTCACAGAGGAGGAGCTAGTCAGGAGAAGGGGGCAAAGGCCAGTTCATGAAGTGCCTTGAGGGTGTTTTGGAGGAATGTGAAATTGATCCATGAGAGTTCGGGCAGGATTGCAAATGAAGAAGTGACCTGGCCTAGATGATGCTTCAGCCAGGTCACGCTGGTCCTTACGTGAGGTCAGCAGGTTGGCCAGCTATGACAGGCCAGTGCAGTAATCCAAGCACAATAAAATGAATGAAGGCAGGAGTTAAAGCTGCGACAGTCAGAATACAGAGAAATAGAAACGGAGGAAGGGCAGATAGAGAATTAGGAGGGAACACCAACAGGATGTGTTGGTTGATTCGATGCAGGAGGTTGGGGACACAGGGAAGCATCAAAGTTCTTGGCATCGGTGAGACAGATGGGAACGCAGAAGCAACATGTTTGGGAGGCAGGGGTTAGATTTCATTTAGGATATGTTCCGTTTCAAAGCAAAGATGTTGCAAAAGTCCAAGGGGAAGACGACAAAGGCCTACACCAAGGTGATGGCAGCAGAGATGGAGAGAAGCAGACATACTTGAGATATATCTCAGAAGCGCGTAGCTCACTTGAGATAGGTGCAAGGAGGAAGGAGGAAATAAGCATGAGGCCCAGATAGAGCAACACAGGGAAGGAGATGAGGCTGGGGGCGGAGGGCAGAGGCTTGGCACTATTTTGGCACCATTTTAGGAGAAAAGCAGAAGCAGAAAAACGTAAAAGGCAAAGAGGAGAAAAAGAAGGGGCCCAACGTGTCTCTGGGTTCCCCGAAACCTGAGAAGGTACTCACAGCTAGAGAAAGACAGAGGGCAAGAGTGAGAATCCATTGGAAATTTGAGCATGTGGAGTGAACATCTCGCGATAATGGACATCCTGGAAGGGAGAGAGGAGCCTCATTAGGCTGGCTCTGAGCGTTTAGGTATCCATCCAGCTTTGACCTGTGCACCACCACTGCTTAGTGGCAACAGCAGAATTTAAGACAAAAAGCTCAAAGGAGAGACAAAAAGAGAAGTTCAGCATGGAAGTATTTAACTACTTTGGGCTCCATCGTCAGAAAATTGTGTGAATTTAGATGTCCCTACCCCTGACACCCCACCTCCCCCTGCCAGTATCTAACCTGCTCTTGGGTTCCAACCGCTGTGTTGCTGCTCCGCCTTGACAATTCCACCACCGTGGACGTGCCTTTACATCCAGTGCCCACTTAGGATGGAATTGTCCAGGCAGTGCACATTCTAGTTGAGGGAGATCTGCGCTGGGAGCCAAGTATCTGGGGTGAGGGGAGCAGTCCCAGCTCTACCACAAACTTGGTCTGTGCCTTTAAACAGAATCTTTTTTTTTTTTTTTTTAGGCCTCAATGTCTTTGTTTACAAGAAGAGGCTGAGCTTGGGAAAACCAGATAGGCCCTCCCTTGAGAATATTGTTCAGGATGAGGGCTCTGTGTGTGAGTCTTTGGCTAGATTCCCAAAAGGGAGGGAGGCTCCCAAGAGGTGACAGCAGAGGCTTGACATACCTAAACCCATATAGCACATTGCCATTCCCGTAGATGCGGACCATCTGGTTGGGCAGGCTCATCTTATAATCTGCGATATTCTTAGAATTCTTGAAGAAGGTGTCCGGGACCCACACGAGGCTCACCATATCACCACTCAGGACAAAGCTGTCAAAGGTCGTATTGTAACGAAGGCGTTCGTCATACCAACTCTGATGTAAGACAATGTCAATGGTGTATTCCTGGTGGGAAGGACAGAAAACCAACTCTCGGGACTGGGCAGACAAAGGACACCCACACACAGATATACCTTTTGCCACCTCTTAACTTTCAATCCTAACGGCAATGTGGTAGAATTCATGGAGCCCTAGGCTGGGATGAGGTCCCTTCTCACTGCCCAGTGACCCGGGCCGAAACATCAGCCAGCCCTTTTGGATTACCACGGCAAAGTGAGCAAGGCCATACAGCAGTTAACACCATTCTCACACCTCAGAATACAAAGGTTTGCCTTAAATGGAGCACCATACTTTCACTTAGCAATCCCCTTTGCACCCACTCTCTGGATGCACGCAGAGAAGGTCTAGTCCTGTTCAGGAGGGCAGGTGTCCAGAAATGACATTTTATTGAATTTAAGATGCCTTTTCCCCACATTTTAGAAACCAGGATACATCTTCCAGTGGATGTATTTTTTAATGTTACATTTTCCCCTCTTTATCTTAACAAACTGTCATTTAAATTTGTTGTGTGTCTTAAATCAGAGGCAACTCTGAATCCAAGAAAGGCACCTGAATGTTAGAATCATGTCCTCTTGAGTCTTCTCTTTTTTCTAGGATGGGCATTTCTGACTAAAAGCTTTCAGTTTCTTAAACCCAACCATTTGTTTTACCAACAGACCTGCAAGGACCACAGAGCCAACTGACAGACTACTCATATGTGACTCTGCCAAGATGCGAACAACCATCCGCAGACATCCGTCTCACAGAACTCAGCCCATGGCACTACTGCACTACCACTCACTTTATGCTGTTTACTCTGGCAAGAAGCAAGTCACTGAGTGACTCCACCATTTGGAAAAGAACACACTGCCTGGTAGAGTGGCAAACATGACAGTAAAAACACAATGGCATTAATCCTCCTAAGAATACTCCTCACTTTGAACACTTATCCCATGGTTCTTGCCACTTCTGAAGCAGCTCTGGACTTCCTCTTTCCTGAGTGTCTTTAGTTGTGCTGTCCTGGCTGCCTCTGCGTCTTGAATCAATTCAAAACGTTTCCCTTTCATGGTCACCATGACTTTGGAGAAAAGCCAGAAGTTGCATGGTGCCAGGTCCAGTGAGGAAGGTGGATGAGGCCACACCATCATCCTTTTAGAAGTCCACCTTTCCATTGGATGGCACTTGGCAGTGCCATTTTGCTGTATTTTTTTTGTCACACCTCATACTCACAAAAGACAACTTGCAGAACTGCTTCAGAAAGTAGAAAGAATGATAGGGTAAGTGTGTTCAAAATGGGGGGGGTATTTTGTGGGGATTCATGGCAATGTATCTTATTGTAATAAATTTGAATGTCAGCATTCACCATATATTTCGATCATGCTTTGCATGTAGAGTCAAGGATGCCAATGATTTCTAAATATGTGGAAACTCGACGTCAATAAAACAATAGAGTAGGTGAGTTGTGGTGATCGTTAAAAGCCCTTTTAGCTCTGATCTAACTAGACTCCGGGGCTGCACATGAGCACATGCATAAACTATTCCAAACAAATTTTGTTGTTTTCCACGTTTCCTTATAAATGAATAAGAGAACATTTCACAGGCAATCTAAGAAACAACATAGAACTTGGTCATGAAAATGACACATCTAGGGCTGGGGATTTAGCTCAGAGGCTACGCCGCCTGCCTCGCAAGCCCAAGGACTGGAGTTCGGTCCCAGGTACCAAAAAAAAAAGACACATCTAGAAGCTATGCCCACACTTAGGAACATGAATAGGTAATTGTGTCAGGGTAAAAAAGCCTAGAGAACAGCCAGCCAATACTGAGTGACACTAGAGAAAACCAAAGTGCCCTAGAATCTGTTCCAAGGGAATATGGAGGGAGACCTACTAGAAACATATGTATTTGCCTGTCGGGGGACTAGAAATTATTGGTGATACCCCCTAAATCACCCAGTGTCCAGCCCTGATAGTGAGACCCTTCCGCTACCGGTGACCAAAGGCCCCATTGCTAAACCCTTTGGTGTCCACTCAGCTGTGTATAGAGGAAAACAGCCTCGAAGTTTGCCTCAAAGTTTTTTCTGTTCCCAGATGTTCCCAAAGGAAAGTGACATTCCTAAATAGATATGGCACCAGTCGGGGAAGACATCTATCCTTGACAAAAAGGTGATGGTGGCTCAATTGCCTGAGCCACACTCATCGCCTCAGCCCCACACTGTCGTGGCAAGTTGGGGAACCTAGCTCAAAATCATTTGAGAAATGTATAAGCACACACACCTTTGGTTGTACACAGCCAAGTTTCTCCTTTCAGCTTTTGTTTGAGGAGCACAGATATTAACCTCAATCCTTCACTTCACTCCTCAGAATTATATCAAAAAATGAAGTACTTTGAGTCATAAGAGAAATGTCCATCTAGTCTCATGGTTTTGGTTTTTTTCAGCTTTAATTGAGTTTATTGGTACATTTTAGGTATACAGTACAGTTACATTCATTGTTGGGATCTTGTACCTCTACATGGCAAGTCTTGATTCTCATTTTTTCCCCTTGTCCCTGCCCTCCCTTCACCCCCTCCTCCCCTCCCCATCTACACTTTCTTTTCATCTTTTCATTATCTCACATTTTTTTCTTTTCCCTTATTACCCTTCCCCTACCCATCCCACCTTCCCTACACCTTTAGCCCCTTTCTCATGTTTTTTCAAACAAGGAGAATCATTTTTCTGCTTTGTTTTATTTTGCCTTTCTAACAAGTGCCCATAACCTCTGAATGTATGTGTGCCTATGCACAGATATATCCGTGATTCTTTGCTCTCTAGACACTGTCTATCCCATGCACTCTCTGCCAAACATCAGGACGGATGTTTACTAGGAAGAAACTGGAAACATGCACCACTGGTATTGAAAGGAGAAAGACAGACTGCAATAGAGCTGCAAGCAGATTGAACAGCACACACCAGAACTGTCACAACACAACTCTGACAGCTCAACTACCTTCTTTATTTTAAAGACAGGGAAACTGAGGCCTGAAGGCATAGGAAGCTGTCCAAAACCACACAAAAATGGCAGCCCACGTGCTGTGCCACTCACAGCACCATTACTATGGCCTTGTACTAGAGTAGGCTGAAGCAGCAGACAGGAGCTCAACAGCCTGCCAACCATTTGCATGGGGCCCCGGAGACCACCCTACCTGGCCTCACCCCACCTGCCTTTACAAAGGGCTCTCGGATTGTTCCCACACTCCCAAGCGGCTGGAAGCCCCAGCTCGGCCAGCAGTCTCCTTGGTCCACGGGCCATGAGAACCACTTGGCGGCTACTGGGAAGCCCACCCCTCCACACCCACACTGTGCTCAAGGTCTGCTATGAAGTGTTTCAATGGGTGCTTCATTTCTAGTCAACACTTTACCAATTGCAAAGTTTTTATACATCAACCAAGAACTATTGGCCCAATGTCTCCCCAGCTTGACAAGGGAACTTGGGATGTACAGTACTTGTCACTTAGCCTAGCTGAATTCAGTACTTAGGAAATGGCTTAATTTGAGTCACCTTCAATAACTGCCAAGCCAGAAACAGCATGGGCAACTGGTGCTGCTGCAACGGGTCATCGATCCCAGTCTCACCACTGTCTTTTAAGGCAGCCTGGGTGTTTCTGAGTTCAGCCAAGAGACTGGCAAAACATCTGATTAAATTCACATGCCTTGCACTCAGGTGTCCTTTTCTGAGGGCAAGGCCTGCATTCGACACATCTGATTCACTGTCCCCTCTGCATCAAGTACAAAGACAAAATCGGGCCTCCCACAGCTTTAACGAAGCAGATACCTTGACCATCCCTCAGGGTTACTTACCTTTGAAGGCTCCGAAAGCCACGTCTCACCCAATCCTACTGTTTTCTGGGTACTGGTGAGCATGGGAAAACTGTGCCTACCCCTTGCCAAGTCAAATCTATAGCTAGGGTGATGTTGGTAAATACCAGTGGATAAATACGAGGAGGGAGAAAGGGACTAGGACACAATTAGAGAAGCAATCACAGAGCAACACCTGGCAACCAAAGACTTAAGGTCACCCAAATAATTATTAGAAAGAAAGAGTCAATGCACAGTGGTGTTTCAAGTTGCTTTATTTTTATTTTGAACGAAGTACAGGAAGATCTAGTCACGACTCCAAATGTCCTCTTCAGGCAGCAAGAGACTTACCTTTTCCAGCTTTGTTCTCAAGGGAGAAGCAATTAAAATCTCCCCCCGCCAAACCCAAACCAAACCAAACCCTCTTGGAGTCATTATAGAAACACAGAGTAAAAAGCATGTGTACCTGGCAGGCCGCATAGGTCAGGCCCTGGGCTTGAAAAGAGTGGAATCAAAACTCAGTACTCACCATGTCCATGATGGAAATAGGGCCCAGGCTCCTGACAAACATCTCAACTTTGACCACGGTGGGCCTCACTGCAAGGGAAGCAGAAGGAGCAGAGGGTAAGTGTCAACCTAGGCATGGGGAGGAAAGGGGACCTATCCCAATTCCTTATTTGCTCTTTCATGGCAAGAATCAGCTCAGGCACTGTGAAGGCTTGGACACACACCTAGCAGGTCAGTGATGTAGTCCAGTTATCTCATTTTAGGGCTAGGAAAACTAAAGGTGAGAGAATGGAAGAGTTTTGAACAGCATTCATGGCACAGCTGAGCCTAGAGTTAATATGGATTATCCAATTGGTCATCAGCAGATGTCCCTGTCCCTTGTGGGCCACCCTCACCTATTACCCATTCCACCCATTCCCCACACCTGTGCCCGCAACCCTCCCTCCCTCCTTCTAGAACTGGGTTCTGCTACTCACCACCAATGCCAGGGCGCAGCTTGTTGTCATAGTTAGTCAGCATCGTGTTTAGAACACGGGATGCTTCTGATATTTTGCTGCTTCTGCTTGGATCCTCCAAAGCATTCGTAACAGCAGTAGTGGCAGAAACCATGGGGGCAGTGGTGGCAACCACTGCAGGGGCACTGATGGGCTTTATTTGTTTAGTTGTGGGCCAGGGGCTGAGGCTGAGGCTGGGGGCAGTAATCGAAATCATCGCAGCTAGATGCTTTATCTTCCAGTGCAGTCTGAGGTCCCACAACCCTAGAATACATACCAACAAAAAGTCAAGCTATGCCCTCCACCCTGCAGGGGCTGCAGCTGGTGCCTCTGGGGACAGAAGCAAACTAAAGTATTTGCAATGCAAGGCTTGGGCCAGGGGCTGAGGCTGAGGCTGGGGGCAGTAATCGAAATCATCGCAGCTAGATGCTTTATCTTCCAGTGCAGTCTGAGGTCCCACAACCCTAGAATACATACCAACAAAAAGTCAAGCTATGCCCTCCACCCTGCAGGGGCTGCAGCTGGTGCCTCTGGGGACAGAAGCAAACTAAAGTATTTGCAATGCAAGGCTTAATTAGAAACTGGTAACAGTAAATGATGGAGCACTAACAGATTATACTGGTTAATTTCTTTTACATCTTTCTGCTCTTTGGGGACTTTCCATGCTATTCCTCTTTCACAATTCTTTATCAACAACAACAACGACAACAAGACCTAGGTTTTCAAAGGGTATTCAATGTAAAATAAAGTCAGAGGGTGTTCTTGTATGAATTGTGGCCCTTCTGCCACTCTTGCTGGCCTGGGCCACCCTTGGGTGCCTGCAGCAGCACCTGGGGGTCAAGGGCAAGCCATGAGCCAGGACTACTGAGGAATGCTTGCTTGCAAGAGCCAGGGCAGCCTCTTCCAAACAGGTCCAGAAGATGGAGGTGTATTCTGCGCTTTCTGTGGGGTTTGTAATACTTGTTGCATTGAGAGCACGAAAGGAGGAAGGGATACTGAAGAACAGCTCTTTGTGGCTGTCTCAGCACTGAAAAAGGCAGTTCTTCTCCCAGAGGCTGCATGTGGGAAATGGACTGCCAACAGGAATTCATCTTGAGTGTCATGGCCAGGCACCAAGTCAACAACAGTCATAATAACAATAACAGTGAGCATTTCAAAGAAGCCGCCTGTGAATGTCTGCACTCCCCTCAGGGTGAGGGCCACTTCACTGGGAGGCAGGGATGAAAGGGCACCAGGGGGCTTCTGAGGTTCTTGTCACACTCCAGTCCATGACCTGGCTTTCTTTATGCCAGGGCAGTCAATTCCTGACCACTCCTTACCTGTACACTCAGGATCTGAGCATTTTTTCCTATAGAAGCTCAAAATCAATGAAAAGCATTTAAAAAATAAAAATGTTCCATCTGCTAATACACACATCTTATTTGGATCCCAATTTTTTCAAAAGCAAACTATAGAAACACTATTTATGACACGACAGGAGAGATTTGAACACCGAGTAGAGAGTTGAGGCATGAATAAATTATTGGTAAATACTTGATGCAATAATGCCTTTTGCTTATATTTGTAAAGTCTTTCAGAGCTAAGCTAATTACACAGGAAATGGTAAGATGTCTGAGGTCTGTTACAAAATAATCTAATCCAGAAAAGGATAGTGGGTAGGGGCGGAGAAAGAAGTGACCTTGAATGCATAAATGTGAGGCTGGTGAGTACATGGAGATTCAGTTTATCATTCCCTCTACTTTCATATATCTTGGAAAAATTACAATTAAAAGCCTTTTAAAAAGCCATCAACTCAAATTAATATATGATGTTGGAAGCCAGAGGGTGGTTTCCTTTGGGGAGATTACACAGGCAGGTGTGTGTGTGTGTGTGTGTGTGTGTGTGTGTGCACACACACGCGCATGTGCGTGTTGGGGGGGCTGCTAATGTTCTTTTTCCTGATCTAAGTGTTAGTTACATGAGCATGTTTACTTTGTGAAAATCTACTGAGTTATTCACTTATGTGATTTAATATTTGTATGTTACACTTGCAAAAGGATTATTTTTTATAAGCCATGAGGCAACTTCCTTTCCAAAATAAGGGGTAAACAGCAGGAGACGTAGGCATGGCCCACGTACTGCAGACCAAGGGGCTGCCAATTTACGTAGCAAAATACATGATTTTGCAGTATCTCAGGCTCTTAAGAGTTGCTTAACTGGCATACAGATGTGCTGTGTCGGGGCCATTTTCTCATGTCTGAGGTGGCTAATTCCCACTGTGGGCTAGGGGAAGAACTGGGCTTGGGAAAAGCAGTTTCCACTCTGAAAAGCCATATCCAGAAGATGTTCTCTTTCCTGAGGCTTTAAGAGTCTCACAGACTAGAGGATAATCCCTCAGTTTTTTGAAGAGATAAGGACTAGCACTATTGGGAAGGAGGGAGGGAGGCAGGGAGACAGGTAGGGAAAATGGAGGCCTGAGACCTCTCAAAATGGTGGCTGGGAACATGGCTGATTAGGGAAGCTTCCAGATGTCTGATAAGCCATGAACAAGAACGCCACCTCCAGGTTCAGAACTGCAGAGGCAAGCAGACACAACTGCACTGGGGTCACCAAAGCCCTCCTGCCCCTGGATTAGTCTGTGGGGAGAGTGCTGTCACAGACTCTGAGGTTATTTGATCTTACAATGAGCTTTTCTCAATTAAAGCAAACAGACAAACAATCTCATCCTGGGGTCCTTGAGGTTAAGGAGCACCTGGTAATGCGCACCTTTCCCCAGCCAGCTATTAAGCTCACTTGTAGAGCTACAAAGAAGAAAAACTTGAAAAACACTCATACACCGGATTAGTGGAATTTTCCACAGGGCTTTTCAGGCATCCATATACCTAGACCAGGGTAGAGGTGAATCTCTACACCCCTGCCCCAGGCTGGCTGGAGAAGGGGAGGGGGGAACTCGAGAAATGGAGATTTTTTTTTTTTCCAAACCAGCTCTCCTTTTCACTTTACAGATGGAAAAACTGAGACTCAGGTGGAAGAAGGGCTGTGCCCAAGTCCAGGATAAGCCTCGGACCTCAGTATGGTCCCCTCCCCCCAGTCCCCTCCCTTCCCTGACATCACAGGTTGCCATGCTGACAGTGCGCATCACTGGCTGCAGCCCTCCCCTGGCTGGAGGGGTGGGTCCACCTCCATGTTGTTTTCCTCTCCGTCCTCCCTCCTCTTCCTGCTGTTCCCCCCAGCCATCTTTGCCCCCCTGCCAGTCACCACTCTCCATGTTTGCTCTCTCAACTAGCCCAAAGCCCACCTGGGCGATGTAGGAGCTGGGAATTCCTAGCACGCACTCAGAGACATTCTCCAAAGCCCACCCTGAAGCACCAGCTGACCAGTGAGGGCCAAACAGTCCCTCCACCTATCCCTCAAACAAATAAGCGAGACAGGAGCCACAAAGCCAGGAGCCATGGAGACTTCGAGAAAACTCTACACTTAGGAACTTGTGACAGTTCACATTCAGCAGGAAACCGTCTCAAAAAAATAGAATAAAATAAAATAAAATTAATGAAGCAGTCACCTTACACCCTAAAAACCCAGAAATTCCTGGGATAACCTTTCCCCCAATATCCCAGGCCCAGAGGAGGGGGGGAGGGAAGCTGGCTGCCACAGAGAATCCCGAGAAGGAGAGGGGGATTGAAGGCCAGGACCCAAACCGCAGATCTCAAAGGAGAAAAGCATTCCAGGCCTCCAGCCAGGGCACAGGGCAGCCCCAGACCCTGTGGGGTGTCTCTGGCTGAGTGAGGAAAGGGGCGTGCGTGTGTGCCTGTGTGTGCAGGGGGAGGACTGCAGTGGAGAGTGCGGAGTGGCTTAGGTGGGACCCCTAAGACTAAACCAAGGCTGTGCCTGGCACCAGCACCTAGAGCAGCGGCGGGATGCGAAGCAAGTAAAGTCAGAGTTGCCTGGAAGCCTGCTGGAGAAAATCGTGAGAGAAGAGAACAGACCAGGCACCGCTCAAACAATTTCCGCGCACTTAGGCTTCCCCAGCCCGAGGGCCACCTCCCGCAGGTCCCCCCGCCTGGCTGGCGATCAGGGTGCCAGACTCCCCTCTGTGTGCGCAGGACTTTGAGAGGGAAGGAGCGCGCGCTCCCCGGCAGCCGCAGGGCTTGGAGGGTCAGAGTGCGGGACGGCAGTGATGGGGGACAGGGTTCCCGGCCTCCTCCCGGACTGCTCCTCGGCGGCCCGGGACGCCCATGGG